CTGCGTACGTATGTACGGAGGAGCCGGAGAATACATATCACCCTTAGTTTCATTCAGCAAGAGTATGATCCACACTTCATACATTAGCGACGGAAGAGCGGTCATGAGACTTCGGATGACAGCCTCAAAAAGTGAATAAGAACCACGGTATCGAAGATTTGTGCTCGTCCCACTCCTCGAGGTATGCGGAGCATCACACCGACGCTCAAAGATTCATTCTGGAACTCGGGTAATGCGGGTCCATCGTGCATCTTCCCCGTCGACTTCATTCCAATTTCTCACACATTGGCTGGATTGATCATAATGACTTTTTCATGTGATTGTCGAATAGGAACAGCTGATGGGGTTTGGACAAATTCCTAGCATGCAGGAGTAGAATCGCGACCCGAGTCTGAACCAGCTAGAGCCCCTTTGATCTCAAAACGAGACTTGCCTCGGCGCAGAGCAGTGCTCTGGGTACCTCCCTCAAAAATCAAAAGCGAAAAGACCACGAGCTGCGGATTCCGTTCGGATAGGGAGTTTGCTCCGATCATCGACCTTGCCTAATTGCAAGAAGCATTCCCAGACCGAGATGTTGAGCAAATATATCGCGAGCGAGTCAGCTGGCTCACCGACTCGCCGGGGAGGGGCTTCCCGCTGAAAATACTGCTGTCAAGTCTCCTGCTGTCAGGACCAGACCTGCCCGTACGTATGCACACGAACACATATAGACGTGCAAGCATGCACACAAACGCACACGCATCCCAGCCGTCAGTCGTCGTCGCGGTGGGGTATCTCTCCGACGACGTAGCGGAGCGGGAGACGCTTTCTTCGTGTTTGCAGCCAAAGAAGGAGACTGCAACGAGCACACGACTTAATTATCGTCGCGTTGATTCATTGCTTCAACGGAAATGAAATAGTTGCTTTTCAGTATGTCTATCGTCCTCTGCGAGCTGCGCGCTGATGTTGCTTTTGTTCCTCGGGGCAACGCCGGGCCGACTGGCTTGCGATTGTTTTTCCGTGGGATGCGGGCTGAGGTGACTCCCAACTTTTCATTACGGTTTTGTTTTCTCGGTTTTTTCTTCGTATTCTCATGCCTCAGGACTCAGGACCCTCTCACGAAAGCTCCTCCTGGGTCTCGCTCCTCCTCCTGACTATCATCATCGGAGGCAAGACCGAGAATTTCAATCGCGAAAGTTGATGAGAATTGGATCGCCTGATTCAAGTAGTGCATTGAAGCTCCATGTGTGGAGAGTCCTGGAGCGCAAATGCAATAAACCGACATCAAAGCTCGCCGGATCTAATTTGTGGTCGGGCGACGGCGATTCGGCCACATGTCAGGCGACACAGCCTGGTCATCTAACCGCAGACCTAAATCTAAGGTATCGTGGTTCTACTTCGAAAACTCCGACGATCGCCGCCGCCGCCGTCGTCACTTCTTCCGTCGTCGTTTCGTACGTCGTTTTCGTCATTGAGTTTAAGCTCTTGTCTCAGGAGAGTACATTATTAAGATCCATGAGCGCATGGAAGAGCAGAGATCAGCGGCAGCGGCACTCCGTTACCCCCGTCACCCTTGTCACTTACGAGAAGCAAATTGGCATTTTTTCTCTTTCTCTGCCCCCGCTATCGGTGACTCTCGCTGCTTGAGAGTAATAGACATTTTCTTCGGACTATTTTATGTATAGCTTCATTCAAGATGGGCGTGTGTTCCCCCCCCCCTGACAGCGTACGCTCGAAGACGCAGACACATGGTCGGCCACGGCTACGTTCGTTCTGCCGCGTGGCTTATGTTTGGCCACAGGAGGGTAATACACTCCTCGGCTCTCCCGCCCGGTCGCAAAATGGCAAGACGCTGTCGTGCCCAATAATCAATTGCTTCCTATTGACGGAATCTCCAGTTCTGACTGGAGGAGTCGACTGCAGCGAATTGCGTTGAAATTTCTCCCTGGAACGGTTTTTTCTCGAAAAGGAACAGAACGCCAGCCTGATGACTGTTTGGCATGGTTTCCCCTTCCCGCTCGTTTTCGTTATTCCACCCCGAGAGTGCGTTCGCTTCTACGTTCGGCCACGATTTTCTCTCAGCGGCGAAAATTCCGAATTTCCGCTTCTATTTCCGGTAGCCTTCGATGGGGACCGCCGAAATGCAGCGGGGAGAGGAAGGCACAGCAGCAAACACCCGGACGGGGTCCCTGACAGCTGCCGACCCGAAAGATCATGCGGAGGGATTGACCCCCCGGACACGGAACAGACATCGGCACGGAATCTTCGGCAAGGAAGACTCCGATTCGACGCCGAGGACCGGCTCGAGGCAACCAATACAGTTGCAACCCCAATCAAAAACGGTGTTCAATGAATCATGAAGTCGTCAGGCAGAGGAACTTGAGGAAGAGTCGGCATGACTCATTCGTCCTCCCTGTCAAGTTGGTGGGCGAAACGACCAATGAAATAGAAGAGAGCACACCGGCAGGTTTCAGTAATTAGCCGTGTGGCCATGTGGATGTCCACGGGTGGGCGGACGACCGCTTAGGTGGTTTTCGCTGGTTCGCTAGGAGGATAGGGGGTTGGGTAGATGGTCGCTTGTTCTTCCGGTCAAACCACCGAGCATCGGTTTGCCTCGGTGAGTTAGGGCGAGCTTCACCAGAGAAATCACCCCTGGCTGGCGGAAGTGTCCCAAGGTTTAATGTTAACTTCCGTTAACTTAAACATGCTTGGACCAGTCACTCGACTACCTGGACTAATTGCAAGCAGTCACCAACCCGTTATACCGCAACTGAACCACCCCATTTCATCCGTATCAAGCTCGGGAGCGTATTCGAGCTATTCCTAGAATTCAAACTTGACACGGGGACTCATGAACTGTGAAAGTAATCGTCACTACATTTTTTTGTCGCGTCGAAACCATTCCTCAATCGTCGTCTTTCTTCATCGCCCCCATAGCTGTGCTCAGTCACGTACACGCCCGATTTTTGCGCGTAGAGCAAGGTTGTCCCTGACAGAAGAGACGCACGGAAACTCGGCCCCAATAAGACACTATTCGGGGCGTTGGATACGTTCGTATTAAAAGAGAAGTAATGAACATCTGGCAGAGCGGTGTCTCCTCCTTGGGCTTCCCCACCAGGCTCTGGGGAGCTTGGATGCGAAACTGTCAACTTTCGACCGTTTTACATATGAAGACATCGCTTTGTGAATCAAAGACCGATCCACCAGATCCTCTGGAGTCACGTCGACACCGAGCTGCTCACAGAGGAATTCTCATCCAGAAGTGAATTCTTCGCGAGAGGAAGCGTGGTGCGCACAGTGGTGCTCGTAGATATGATATTTCTTTCTACAGACGAAGGTGGTTCGATATGACGTCGAGCACGCTGGATGCTTGGCTAACTGACTGACTGACTTGGTAGCTAGCGAGCAAGTTGGCGAATGTTTTGGAACAACCTAATCTGAACGGAGACATCAGTTTGCACTTAGTGACGAAGTCCTTCTCCTATAGTGGGCAGATGATACAGCGAATGTCCCCTCCGTTCTTTCCGGCTTCTCCCGCTCTCTCTCGCTTCACCCTCCTTCCCCCTCAGCTCCCGTCCTCCTTGAAGCTGATGCGAATCTTGAGGCGAGCGGGGTGCCAAATGTGGCCTTCTGATTCCTCATGAACAAGCCAGCAAAACAGCCAATCAGCAACCATCGGACATCTCTCTGTTTCTTGCCGTCGGTCGAGTCCGATGTACATCGATAAAGAACTTCGTGGGCGAGAAGGGAAAGTGCGCCGTTCGAGATATAGACACCTCTCCCGCGAAACTGCGGACTCCTACTTCCATTTCGGATGTCTTGCGGTTTGAGTCTCTTCGATGCGCATCCCGCACTACGCAAACTTTCCGCCTTTGCATCGCTATCGGTTGGATATTGCTCCTAGACATATGCGCGTCGTTTTTCTCATTGGGCGGAAATTACCCCTCTAACAGAGTGTAGGTAAATAAACTGGGCTGGACGTGTGACACCCACGTGCCTGCGTTACCCACGAGCCATGAGGCCATGGATTGCTTTCGATCGAGACGACGATCACCTATCCGGTCCCGGGCGCGGCCGGTCGCACTGAGCGAGCTCTGAAAGACCCGCAGAGATGCAGACCTGCAGCTCTGTAAGACGAACTGTCGGAGGAAGTTGCATTAGTGTATTGGCAACTAAACTATACAGGGTGGGGCATTCGAGGCTTGTCGTGCCGTCATCGGCAACGCTAGAGGGTTAGGTGCCAACCAGCCGAAACTTGATGCCGGAACCCAACAAGCAAAACTCCGGCGAGCCGAGAGTCGTTTACCCGCAAACCAAGAAGCCAAAATCAAACAACTCGGAAGTCGTTCACCAGAAGGCCGGGTAACCGCCCTGAGTTTGACGAAGATCCGCTACGGTCTCAACGGTGCTGAAAGTTCGCGTTCCCTCTCACGGGATCTTGGGACAGCCCTTCCTCGGACCAGCCGGTCAAGCCATCGCGAGGGATCTGGGGTCGTTCCCGCTGCGATAAAAAATTGATATTGTACTTGGGACGAGTTCTGAATATATAATTTCTATACAATGCGATATTTTTGTATGGAGCGCTCTCAACATCGGAGTCGCTATTCTCCGTAGCGACATCGCACTACGACGCCCTGTATTGCCGTTCCGAAGCAGTACTAGAATGGATTCTAATAGACACCAAGAAACTGCAAAGTACCTCTACAATTGTTGCCAAGTGTCGACAAGCCGATTGTGAACTACGTTTCGACCGTGATAATCGCCCAGAAGAGATCGCCGGGGAAGTTGGATTTCGAGTAGGCGCTTACAGGATCGAATTCCAATTTGGTTTGGTACCATTGAAGTTGCTCGAGCTTGGAACCCGCTCCGGATAGAGTTTGCCCTAGATGTGCATAGATGAACCTGCGGAAAGCTTCCTTCCAAGATTGACCGCTCAGGCGCCCGAGGTTTCCTGATGGAGCCGCTGAGGTATTTCGAGTTGGGAACCCCTAGTTCTAAGGAGGAAAAAGCGCTGGTACGGGGAACAAAGCATGTAGCTTGGACTCAGCAGTCATTTTTATTGATTCGAGTTTAATTAAGAAGACCTTAGCATATAAATACAACAGATAATATCGGAAGTGATGTTCCGCTTCGGCTTGGCCTGTATGAATTTCACTCTGAATCTTGTTCAGATGTGGCTCAGATTCGTTCCACTTCCGTTTTTTTTTCGGACACGACATTCGTTCAGCACCGATTCAACTGGGATAAAGTCTGTAAGAAGCGAGAAGCTGGACGCTCAACATGATTATGTGTGTTCAGAGGCCACGACGCCGTACCTCGGTTTTGCGTGCCTTTCTCTTCCGCATGAAGAAAATGAAAAACAGTCGGTAATGCGACATGCCAGCCTCTGTTTTCGTTGCAGTGCAACGCGGGAGTTTCCTTCCAACTTTACTGCGGAAGTTGTGGATCATCCTGCTCTGGCATGACGTAAGAGATGTCGTCCCATGGATGTCGGTATAAACCCTGTTTGAGTCTCTTCTGATCCAAGTAGTGTCCGATGAAGCCGATGGTCCTCCCGAGAACGAAGAGACCGTTCAGAGCACCCATATCGATGTATTCTTGTGCTTCTTCTCTTGTGAAGGCACCCGACGAACGCAGGAGATCCACAACGGCGACACCGATAAGTCCGTCGACATTCAAAATGAGATTGGGTTTTTTGCTCGTGGTGATTTTCTCGACTTCGAGCGCAAAATCAAGAACTGGAGTGGTAGAGAAATGCTGTTTAACGAAGTCTTTGAGAATCTTGACCCTCATATCGGGATTGTTGATGGACTTGACACGATGACCGATGCCCATGATGAGTTCGCCTTTCTTCCTCATCTGGTTGACGAAGTCCATCGGAATAAGACCCGAATCGTAAGCACCCGAGAATTGTCTCGCGGCCGCATCCAGAGCTCCACCGAAACGATCTCCGATCGTCAGAAGACCCGATGTCAGAGACGAAATGAGATCTTTCCCAGCCCGGGCACAAACGATGGTGTTGTGAGCCCCCGACACCGCGGGTCCGTGGTCCGCAGTGACCATCAGAACCATTTCGAGGAATTTGCACGCGTAGCTCGGCAGACGTCTCTGGAACCACAAAAGACTGAGGACTCCGCCGAGACCAAGATCCTCCTCCATCACCTTCGTAATAGGAATGCCGGCGTAGACGAGTTCTTGTCCACGTTCATCACAGATTGAAGTCATGAAGGATGCGGGTTTGCGGATCAGGCCCAGCTCCCTGGCCCAGTTGTAATCCATGGGAACGGTCGGCGGAGGCACTTCAGGCTTGACGACCACGATACCCTCGGCCACAAGTTGACTGAACACATTTTTGATTGTATCACCAAGATCGTCGAAAGTTTTCGGCACGAAGGCTCCTGCTTCCTTGAGAGCCAAGTTTTTCACAACAGCGGTCTCTCGCTGCGAATTGGCACAAGCTCCAGCGTGACCAAACTGAACTTCGGATGAGAACATTCCGGCACAGGTGCCGATGCACCTGCAAAGAGACCCGCTCCGTTGAGTACTCGAGGAGTCGAGGTATGATGGTTTGAACGGATGATGATGGTAAGATACCGCTACGAACATACGCACCATGCAACAAGGGGTTTGGTGATTCTCCTCTCCTTGATGGCTTGGCAGACATCGTATTCCTCAATGCCACCAACTTCGCCGAGCAGGACGATCATCTTGACTTCGGGATCGCTCTCATACCTCATGATGTGATCCATGAACGTAGTTCCTGTGAACAGGACACTCAAAATTAGATCATACCCATTCGGTAACTCGAGTCGAGGGTGTGAGAAGATTCGACATCCAGAATATGAATAGACTGGGGAGCCACACTCACCCGGATATCTGTCACCTCCGATGGCTACGCCCTCGTAGACTCCGTCCGTATTCCTGGACACTATGTTATTCAACTCGTTCGACATGCCTCCAGACCGAGACACGTAAGCTACGCTGCCCGGCCTGTACAACTTCGACGCCAAGATGTTGTCCATCATGCCGCCGGTGTTTCCAATTTTGAAACAGCCAGGTTTGATTCCACCGACCGTGGCAGGACCGATGATATTGACTCCTGAGAAAGTCGTGAAATCATGAATCGCTACTCTGATAAGATAGTCCGGAAAGTTTTTCGGAAAATCCCCCACCCATGCGGCCCTTCTCGGTCAGATGGTCAACTCACCTCGCTGCTTCGCTGCTTTGTTGATTTTTCTGGTGATGTTCTCTGGTATACCTTCGGCGATGATGGCAATCGTCCTTATCTGGGGACAGTTGATGGCTTCGTCTGTGGACTCCTTAGCAGATCGCAGCGAGGCGAAGTTTATGAGGCAGTCGGCGTCGGTGTGTTTCTTTATGGCATCCGAAATACTCTTGTACACGGGAATGAGGATCTCTTTGTGTCCCCAGTAGAACTTGAGCCGATGATAACCGACGAATGGATACACCTAGAGCGGGAACATCATGAATTGGAATAATTTCCCGTGGGAAGCAGGGAACGTCGATGATCTTGCCGATTTCCGGTTAAATGAGGGAGTCCGAACTCACCATTGCCACAACAGACGGCTCTTTCCGGGAGCAAACGAAGTCGAAGTCAAGCATTCCTTGTACGGCTTTTGTCTGCATTCCCCAGATGATTGCCCTGCTCCTGTTTGTGAACCACGGTGTCGCGGGTCCACTGGGAGGTTGACTATCTACCGGAGATGAGACAACCGAGGGAGCGGTCGATCCCTAATGTGAAAGGAAAAGAAAGAATTCAGTCCAAGTTGAACTGTACTGTATACTCCCCGACATGCAACCTCCCCTTGGTTCGCAACGCGCAGGCTATCATGCTTTCCGCATCCTCTCGAGTGTTCTCGAGCGAATTCTCAGGCATCCATGCCCCCCTTCGCCAAGTTGTACTCTTCTCAATCGAGAGACAGAAAGATCCTCTTTATCCTCTGACAGACCGCTGATCTACATGCCCGAAATCGACGAGAGAAGTGTTAGACTTATGAGTGAATCTCACTCAGTGAGAGGGACGAGAGGGAAAACGGTTAATAAATTAGGTAGCTTCAACGGTCACTCTTCGAGCTGTACCGATCTGAGTTTTTGCAGAACTACGTATTCCTCCCGTAACGGGTCCATCATCTGCAATCGATTCACGGTTCGTACGATCTCTAGATACCCCAATCTCTGAATTACGAGGCTTCACAATGGTCTCTGCTATTTCCTGCCTCTAGGTGCCTCTGTTCTTGATTTTTTTCACTGCGAGGAAGCGCCTACGTAATCCCGAGAATTCGGAGCGACGATCGTCGCTCTCTCTTCGCACCGACAGCTGCAAGAGCAGGTCCCCTACGGGGGAAAAAGTAATCTACCTTCGATACGCCGGAGGCGAGCAGGAAGTTCGCTGTTGTCTGGGAATTTTCCACAGGTGCCGAAATGTCCCTCTTGCCCATCGCCATGGCAACGATTGCAGTCATGTGAGTCTCAGGACCAAATACGTGAACTGGAATTCCAAGCGTTTGTCCGGTCTCTTTCATGACTCGGAGTCCTTCTTGATAATTGGGTCCCGCCCTTCGCACAAAAATCGAAACCCCGTGCTCAACCAATCGCTCGCGGAACTCCTGTAGCGCCTTCACAATGCCTGCGAACGGGTAAAGAATCCTTATAGCGACTCCTGCCGGGATGCGCGACAACTTTCTTTCGCAGATAAGACCCCCGGAAATGCGGAGCTCTTGCGATGATATTCGAGGCATTCTGTCTGTCGAGAGTCAAACCTTTGAAAGTGGCCGCCACATTCGTGAAGTTCGCAATGCCTCCACCGATGATGAGAACTTTCCCCTTGGGATGATAATGAGCGCACAACAATCCGAGTATGGTTTTAGCGTATTCATAAGTCTGGTTTTCGTTTGGAGCTCCGGAATACTCTCCATAGTTAGCTAGTTCATCGGCACCACCGAGTTCGCACACGGTGTCAGAATAGATGACCGAAGCGCCACCGCCAGCCGCCATTGTCCATATACGACCTGGAAAACGCCACGAAGCGAGTTCAGCTTCTACGAGCTCTCTCTTGCAATGTTCACGCAAGAATTTATTTCTAGAGATCCTCTGACTCCGTACAGCGGCAACAGGGAGCCGTGTCTGCCAAATTACCTTTCGGATTAAGCACGGTCAACTTGAGCGAAGCACCACTCTTGGAATCCAGCTCGTGTATGTAAGCTTCTTCCGAGGTGGCATCTCTTCCGAAAGGGGGCGGGAAATCCACGTCACCCCATCGAGCTTTGCAGAGATATTCGGCGGTCGCATCCAGCTTTGCCGCCAAGTCCAGAATATGAACTTTTCCCTTGGTGATCACTGTCGAGGGAAAACGCTTGAGCCTCACTCCTTTCTTTACATTGGTAATAATACCAATGTATTAATAGCTATTACCCCGACTTTTCCTATTTTGCACAGCGGGATCAGTTCGAAATTCGAGTCCCGGGGAATTATGATCGGCCCCGCTCCCTCCGATAGTCGAGGCGTCAGCGTGAAATCCGATACGGTTCCCGCAGCGCATGCCGTGACTATCGAATGACGTGAGCTCTAGCGTCTCCTGCACGCATGCGCGGCGTCGATACGTACCCAATGGATTGATCTCAAGGTAGGTGAAGTAGAGTCTGACGTAGAAGGAGTAGAGCTTCTGGATGAATTCTAAGAGTAATTTCTGTTTATCCCCGGTGAGATCGAATAGAAGATGTTTCAGAATATTTTCTCTGACATCCGGTGCTTCTTCCTCCAGAAACACCGGAATTTCGAGCTTATGCGCTTTCGCGTCCACATCGCCGACATCAACGCCACCTGTGAATGGAAAATACTTTCGCTGCCGAATTTCCGGAATCCATGGGATACGCTCCGTCGACCCGACCGATCCGTCGGATGATTCCGTAAGCGAATAAAATATTATATTATTGAAGACGATCCGAATGCGCGAGGTCGGAAGTCTTCACGAGGAGAGGAATGTTTTGATCCTCGGTTTTTCCTCTCTTCCAACGCACGCTCCGTTGGACGCGCTGCGCAAGGTCTTCGTCGACAAGTTGCTTGTGCCTCGCCGAAATCAGTGCCTCGCCGAAGATAGCAATATCCGCGGGAATCTCACCTTGCTTGTGGAACAGAATGACGTCACAATCTCTGGTTGAGTAAATGCACACGTAGGCTTCTTCATCGTCTGCATGCGGCAGGAATGGCTCAATGATGAAGTTCTTCAGTCTGCCTTCGGCTCTTTCGATCTTAATCGGTTTGTTGATTCGATCACCGATCCACTCCTTGACGGACTTCGAGTTCCCTTTCACGTGGATGAGGCCGAGCTTGCCTCTTCGCTTGATCAACTGATCGGGCTTCACGACCAGCGGCTGCGAATGGAGGAGCGATCATGAATCGAGCGTATTCTCAGGCGGAAACGAGAATTTCTTATGTATGTATGCGTGTGCTTCAATTCCAGACGGACGAGCAGGGAAGCGGTCGCATTTTGCTCGGACGGCCAGAAAAGGATCTCAGTAGATCTAGAGGGCTTTTGCGAGTCATCGGATTCGATGCCATGCTCATGCTGAATACAGGGAACTGCGTCGATGCGGGAAAAACCTCAAGCTCGAAATTACCTCGCTCTGGATCCATGAGTTGTTCGATTCGACCTCGTTCCACTTGCTCAGATCGGTGACAGTGGCAAACTTGCAAGGCGCCGCTAAAGCGCAATCCAAGTGCTGATTTAACAATCGCTTGCCTGTTGCCTCGCTGATGGCTTTTGCAGACATTCTGAGGGAGAAAACGCTATGCGTAAGATAGGATGGAAAAAATTGAAAATCACGAAGAAAAACATCCGAGCTCCCACAACTGCTCAGTGTTTTTCGGCCAAGCGACGCAGCGTATATATCTAAGCTTGGGTCGTAGCGGTCATCGATGATCCGACGCCGGGGGAAGAAGCCGAGCTTAGCGACGACCGTCGGCAAGAAAACATCGCCGATCGAGCGGTCATTCAACTTGGCTCAGTCAGTCGTTCCCACTCCGGACGCAGAAGAGACGTCGTCGGCGCTCTTCTGCGGAATCTACTTCCAAGGCATAATTGTCAGTCGGTCGACCCGATTCCGCTCCGGATTTCTCGAAGTTTCAACCACCAGACACATCCGCTGCCTTAGTGTGTTTTGCCAACGGTGGTCAGCGATGTCTACTGCTGCTGTTGACGCTCTCAGTCGACCGCGATCGGTATTGGAACGGTCTCACAACTTATCAGGCCATGTATACCACGATTGAAGTCTAATCTCATCGAGATTACAGCATCAAGGACGCACGATGTGAAGAGAGACGGTCATCTTCAAAAATCTGCCGGCCTTGGCTCCAGTCATGGGCACATCCTCGAACGATATGGTGCCATAATTACGGAGAATCAGTCGCGAGAGCGAAACTTGCCAGCTCAATGCCTAGGCGCAGACGGTAGGTCTTGGACAGAGGATCCTTGGACTTCCCGGGAAGAAGAAGGAAAACACGTTTCTCTTCGATGCCGAAAGCTGGTACAGGCGACGAGCCTTGTCGGAGGGGGAAAACTTAAGTTGAGCGGATAATGATAATTCATTCGAGGACCTATTCAAGGATTTTCCTCGTCACTCCTCCACGGGCGCAGAGCCAACCGAAAACAACTGTTCACTCTGTCAAATGACTCGGCGATTCGTTTATCCTCCGACGCGCCGACCCAATCCATTTCCCCGAGCGCTCCGAATCGGGTATGCCTATCGATTTCTCTAAACGAAACGGAAACGTTTTCCGGCAATCAATAGGCATCCGGTGTGATCTGACTTTTCCGATGAGTTTCCACTTTGCAAATTGCAGGATCTGGGCTTCAAGAAAAAATGGGGATCAGGATCAGATGATCAGCTGTTGCCGCTCCTGCCGCGGGATGAAGCCGATCACCGAGACGGTTCTCTGCCGTCCGCCCTGGGCGTAGCCGTTGCTTAGAGCGAGAAAAAAAGATCTCGTCTTAAATGCTCCGTCGTATAGTGTCGGGCTTCACTACTTGAACGGTTTCGCGTATCACTGAGGGTTGGTGCAGCGTTTTCAAAGGGAGGAACGCTCGCGAGGGGATCCTCGACCCTCCGGAGGGATTCGAATTCTCGGAACGCTTTTCTGGCGGGAAGTCACAATCGGTTTCGCGGCTTACTAATTTTCTGAGTTGAGTCTTGCAGTAATTTTCGGCTACTCAACCGTCCAGCAGCTTCGACTTTCGTTAGAGAATGACAGCTGAGTTCAGCAGAGGGTCTCCACGGGATGGTACGAATTCAACAAGTGAGGCAATCGCGGGAAACTTCTCAACATCTTTTAGCCCCGACGCAATCTCATCTTCGCGGTAATCGTGATCTCTCGGTCAGGGAACGGTGCGACCGTGTCAAAACATGAAAATAGACACTACAGTACCGTGCTGTGGGACTACAACGGCGTCAGATGTTTACACGGCCGCTCTTCATTTTTCCACGTCTGGTCGAGGAAGCGGCTCCACGTCATACGAGAGAGATGGATTTTGGAGCATTCCGAAAACTTTCCGTCTGATTGTTCCGATTAGTCGACCGCACATGTTGGACACAGGACAGTATTCCTGACATGAGCGCTCCCGCTCCGCAGACATCACTTGCTGCGCTGTCGGAGTTCGGGTCGATTCGGTGCCCGCGTTGACGGCTAGGCCGTCCGAAACCGACTATTATCTTGCATGAAGTCAGAGGCCCGTGGCTGAACCTTGAAATATGACCTGAGGGCCTATCAATGGCCGCAGCGCGGATGACTAGATGACCACGCAAGCCGGGACACTCTGCGTCTTGTTTCTATTGAGCTCACCTGAGGCGTCGGATTCTTGCAAAGAAGGAGCGAGATGAGCGCTTGCGGGATCGACGGCAGTTCTGTCCAAGATTATAGAGCTGCCTCAGGCGGCTCACGAACACCACCGCAGCACAGGTACAACCAGACAGCAGCGAATTGCCGACAACACAGAAAACATACACGCACACTCACTCGCTCACCATCCGCTCTCACCACAACAGTGAGAGGGTGAGAACAACATCAGTGGGGAGAGACCACGGATGCGTAAAAAGTGGGGACTCGCCGCGCGGCAACTTTCGAACACCACATGCGGAATCGTCGGTCAATATTGAGTCACGGACCTTCTTGACCGACTTGAGAGAACCCATGGCCTCGAAGTAATTCTGACTCAATCGATCCGCAAATAGACCACCGGTCCGCTATGGACCACGATGATTGATTGGCAAGACTCGGGAACCTTCCCCGATGTCGGAGATACGGAGCAACTCGTGGAGGCGGGTGGTTTCGCCTCCCGACTCGAAGAGTTGATCGAAGCCGCCTCCCCCCCCCCAACAGCCGGTCGGCGCTCCCGTTTCGGTTGATCCGAAGCGCAACCCCACGCAGAGACTCAATCGTATTTCAACCCTTCCCCTGTATGCGACGGACTCCATGCTCTGCTCACATCCGATACGGGCTTCTGTTGAGGTGCGAGCTTCGATTTGGCTTTCCGGAGACCGGGATCCTCGCGTCGAGCCGGGGGCGGCACGATCGCCAACTCCCGATGCGACGCGTCGCGCCAGCACTCGTCAGTTCCTCGCGTCTCTCCCTGTCCTCGGGAGACGTTTGTCCGAGTCGCTGGGACCGGTTCATTGATCGTTGTGTACTTCAACTGAGTCAATGAACGGCGAGCGACTTCGCGGAAATGGATCGTAGCTTCGGTCACGCCGAGCTCTATTATTCCGGAGTCTTTTCGAAACGCCCGCACCCGGTACTCTCGCGGCTCCTCGAGATTCTCGGGTGACCCACGACGCGACGCGGCATTGGCTGCCCACCGCATCGATCTTCTCCGGATTTATACCAGGGGTGTCGTTGCCGTGGACGGATTCTGGGATCGAACTCCGATACGGATCGGTCGGAGGCGAGGCCCGCATACTCTTTGGGCAATGGAATCGAAGCCGTCGGCAATTCGCTGCTGTCTGTTCTGACTTCCGCCCGGATGGTCAAACTCAATGGGACAGAATTCACGCAATGGATTGCACACCATGGGCTAAGCGCAAGCCATACACGTGTTCGAAGAGCAACGGAAAAGACACTCAAACTTGTTATACATGGGTCCGTCCATTGAGTTTCTTGAGTCATGGTCGCATCCTGCAAGCCGTCCGGTCGGGTGATTGCGGTTCCTGATTACCAACACCTTACATTGAGGAGATACACTACCCGCGGGAAATTTCAACCCACTTTTGAATTTGCCCGAAACTCGTAAAAAATTACGATTCGGGGGCTTTGGCGGACCGTAATGAAAGCCCGAGTGGATTGCGGAAGATCTGAATCGTCAACTTCGTCCTCATCATCGTCCTTGTGAACGTTCTGTGATATCGACTATTATGGTCGAAAATCGAGCTCCGGAACGGCAACTCGCACGACCATGAAATCTGGCGAGGAGGATAGTAACTCAGAGGAGGAGTCGCAGGCCAAATCCCAGCCCGCTATCTATTGGGGATGCAGAGAAAAAGAAGGCGCAGTTGGGTACACCATTCACTTCAGAGTGGAAGCAATGAGCAGGTCTAATTCCCGCTGTCGACAGACACGGCCTTGCCCAGAAAAACAGGGGCAGAGTTACTATGGAGAAGAAAAAGCGAGAAAAAAGAAAAAACATAGGAGGTGATAAAGAGATTTGCGGAAGGACACAGCGAAGAGGGGAAGAACAGGGCAGAGGTGGGTAGTAGTATGGAAAAAAATCGGGTAAATGAGGAAATGGAGACGAAAACAAATGAAGCACATTGAACATTCGGATCGAAATTGGAAACGACGAAGCCCGACGTGGTGTCTACAGAGAGGTGTATGGTCACGTGACATGGCTCCTCGGAATCAAATTCCAACGGAAAAGAGATCTGCAATCGTCGCTCTGCGAAGAGCTGGTCACAGCTTACGGGAGATTGCTGCGCTCGAGAATGTTTCCCCAGCAGGTGTGCGATACACCATTAGGAGATTCCAAGAAACTGGCGAATACGGTGACCGACCGAGAACGGGGCGTCCGCGGAAGACCAGCAAGAGAGAGGATAAGTACATCACCCTGGTGAGCAAACGAGACAGGTTCAAAACCGCCAGGGATATTCGGGCGGAATTGATTGAAAGCAGAGGAACGACGGTCAGTGTCACCACGGTGAGAGATCGTCTGAAGAGAGCCGGACTTCACGGGAGGATCTCTTGCCGCAAGCCGCTCTTGCGCGAGGTCAACAGGAAAAAGAGGCTCGCCTGGGCCAAGGAACATCGACAATGGACGCCTGCGGACTGGAAAAGAGTCCTCTTTACCGATGAATCGAAGTTCGAAGTTTTTGGCTCAAGACGTCGCCGGTTTGTACGACGCAGGCCTGGCGAGCGCATGTTGCCGGCTTGCCTTACGCCCACAGTCAAACATGGTGGAGGCTCAGTGATAGTGTGGGGCTCCTTCGGGGGCGGCAAGGTTGGCGATCTTGTCAGGATCGAAGGTCGCATGGATGCGAAGCACTACCACAAGATCCTAGTCAGACACGGCGTGCCTTCGGGGCTACGGCTCATCGGAAGAGGGTTCACGTTTCAACAAGACAACGACCCGAAGCACACGTCTCGTCTTTGCCACAATTACCTTCTATCGAAAGAGTCCGCTGAAGATTTGCGATTAATGATTTGGCCGCCTCAGAGTCCCGATTGTAACCCCATAGAGCTATTGTGGGATCATTTGGATCGAGCTGTTCGCTCCAAAACCGCCTCTAGCACGGACATGCTTTGGAGCTTGTTGGAGAATGAATGGGCAGAAATTGGAAGCGCCATTTTGGCTAAGCTCACCGATCGAATGCCCCGTGTATGCGCCGCCGTAATAGCCGCGCGCGGCGGGTTTTTTGATGAGGCCAAGATTTGACAGAGCGAATTGTGGCGATCAGAATAAACAGCGCGATTTCCCGTCAGTCGGTCTCCAGAGTCTTGATAGATATTGGGCTGAAAAACGGCCGTCTTCTTCCTCTTCCGACTAAGAATCCTTAGCCGACTTTGATGGCCGCTCTGCCCCCTCGAGGCTGTGCCTTTCGATTGTAGGAGTTTGATCGGTGCATTGCCTCATTCTTGAGTGAATGGTGTACCTGAATGCGCCTTCTTTTTCTCTGGATCCTCAAAAGATGACGGGCTGGAATTTGGCCTGCGACCTCACCTCTGAATGACCGTCCTCATCGCCAGATTTGATGGACCTGCGACTTGCCGTTGCGACGCTCGACTTTCGGTCATGATAGTCTATATTACAGAACGATGATGAGGACGAAGTTGACGATTCAGATCTTCCGCAATTCACTCGGGCTTTCATTACGGTCCGCCGAAGCCCCCGAATCGTAACTTTTCACGAGTTTCGATTAAATTCAAAGGTGGGTTGAAATTTCCCGCGGGTAGTGTATATGTGCGAGAGCTTGCTTCGATGTACTATGTACGGTTAGGAGTCGCTGCTGTGTAGGATGCCGAGAACTTGCACTGGAGTTTTTTTGCAAGCTTCCCGCGGATCAGCAGAAACGGTACATCGGAGTTCGTACGAGAGGAACATCTGTGTCGCACCACGCGCTTCGAGCCGATGGATTCGACCGAGCTCTCCGAAAAGCGAAAAATCCAAAAGGAGCGAACGGATGTCGTCGTCAAGGGAGAACGCGGTGATTCAAGGAGCAGACTAACGACGCGCGCAGCCGACCGGACAGATTATATTTTCCAATCCTTTCCGCTTGTAGCCGATTACGGAAACTATTCGATCAGCTGATGGTGATTCAACGATCTCTGAAGACGCTCGAGGGTAGTAGAGACACATGTTCGTGGAACAACGCCGGCTGGCTTCCTCGACCGGAGCGACGAGGTGCGGGAGCGTGAAGGTCGGAAGACAGAAACGCCTGTTTTCGTCTTTTTGAATTCTTCCGAATGACTGCCGACCTCGATGGAGAGAGCGGATATTAATGGGCACGCGCCGGACGACCACCTGCTTCACATCTTGAGCGATTATGAACGATTATGAAGAGTATAGGAGGCTATCGGAGATTACTATTATTATTACTACTAGCGTGCCCGGCCGCGCTGCGCTGCGGCTTACATTGTATTTATATGAATGTTTATTCTAAGATCGAGACGAACAAAATCTACAAATCAGTGGCGTTATCGAGACCTGGCCATGCCCAGCTCGTCTCTTCGCTTCAATCGAATTTTCTCTTCCTCGATTCTTGTCCCTTAGTATCCGAGTATCTTCTCTCTGCTCCAGAACCTCTGATCTTTACCCGTGCCTAATTTTGCGGTCACGATTTCTGTTTTTTTCCCGCTGCTCCACACATTCCCTCTCCTATTCGTCTCCCGGTCGCCCTACAGGCTCCCTCTCGTTTGCTCTTCAGAATTCGTTCTCTTCCTTCGCTAACCCTTGACTTTTTCACATCTTCCTCCACTTCCCTGTTTCCTCCCCTGCTCCTCCTTACTTCCTTCGCTCAACCGTCTATCCGCCACCCCCGATCCTCTCGTCTTCCCGTTCCCCCTCTTATACTTCGATCTCTCCTTCTTTCACATCATTCTCCCCTTCATGTCTCCCCTCTCTCCGCCTGGATCAGATATTTTCCCATTTCCTTTCTCCTCCTCGTTTCCCGTGTTTCCCCCGGCTTTCCCCTTTTCTCTACTACCCCGATTCTTCCCGTTTCTCTACTGCTCTCAGTTTTGGCTCCCATCACTCTCATTTCCTCGTTTCTATCCTGCTCCCGGATCTCCTCAATTCTCCCAATTGTCTGCTCAGTCCCTCTTCTTTCCACTTCCCCTCCTCTCCCCTCTGTCGCGTGCTTCTTTTCCGAGTCACTCTGTACTCCCCCACACTTCGTCCGTTTCTATCATTTCTTACTTTTCCCTCGTTTTCCCCGTATTTTCGCGTATTTGCCCCGCTACTCGTCTACTCTCAGATGTCCCCATCCCCC